TTAAAGATAAAAGTTAGTGTCACTTAAAGAATCAAGTTAGTGTCTCTTAAAGATAAAGGTTAGTGTCACTTAAAGATAAAAGTTAGTGTCACTTAAAGATAAAGGTTAGTGTCACTTAAAGCTAAGGGTTAGTGTCACTTAAAGATAAAGGTTAGTGTCACTTAAAGATAAAGGTTAGTGTCACTTAAAGCTAAGGGTTAGCATTCATAAATTTCCTACACATCATATGTCGCTATCCCTTGAAAATATTATTTATTAGAATATTTCGACAGATGCTTGGTTGATTCACGGGCACATGCATATTTTCAACAGTCATTACTTCTTTAGCTCATATTTATAAAACACTTATATACGTAGGAAACAAAACATAAACTCGAAGGAGTTAAGAAACACTATATTTGATGGAAAATTAATAAGTTTCATTTGTATTTACTCTATACATTTATAAGTCAAAACAATTTCTGGATATGTTGTTGTTTTTTAATGCCAAGCTAAACAATGGGCTATCTGCGTTCTGTCCACCGTCTGTAATCGAACCCTGGTTTTTTGTGTTGTAAGTATGTAGATTTACCGCTGATCCCCATGGGTGAGATTACTAGACAGAAGGGTAGCACATTGAATTTACTCTGTCCCCAGGTTTCCCTTTGCTTGTCGATTATGTCCTCCCCACCACACATCAATGACTCAGCGGTAAGTCTGAGGTCTTATAACGCTTAAAATCGAGCTTCGATACTCGCAGTGGGTACAGCACAGAGAGCTTGTGCTTAACAACAAACAACTTGTATCACCAGGAACAAAGAACGAGTGGAAATTTTAACCTTGTCTCTGTAAACAGAGAATGAGTCAAATAGTGTCATTTTTTTATTATAATTACGGCACACCACGGCTACATAAGAAATATATATATAAGAACATAATTTTAGCATGAGGGCCATAAAAGTGATTTTTCAATAAATAAAATAATAAATATTAAACGCTGATTTTCTCCAAGGTGTAAAGCACTTCTCAAAATTATCTCGAATAATAGGCTTAACTCACACCCCCTTAATTCAAAATAAAATATTAATTTGTTTCCAAATTAATTGTTGACTACAAAATAAAGCATGATAGAGCAGTGAAATCAGATAAATACCTGAAAGTTATATATTGTTATATCATCCTAATAGTAAAAAAAAAAGCATCATATAGATGTTTTAGGCCCACATATAAGTTTGTTGTGCATAAAAAAACGTTGTTAATGGCCCAAAAAATATGGCCTCAAAACGTTGAATAAGCATATGTGTGGGTCTGCAAACGTTGCGATATTTATTTATTTATTTCAATTTTACTTGTAAGTTTACGGACTTCTGATTAACTGCCTTCATATTTCCATGTTTTGCTTTATTACTTTAGAATGATTATCTGCCTTCATATTTCCACGTTTTGCTCTATTACTTTAGAACGATTATCTGCCTTCATATTTCCATGTTTTGCTCTATTACTTTAGAATGATTATCTGCCTTCATATTTCCATGTTATGCTCTATTACTTTAGAATGATTATCTGCCTTCATATTTCCATGTTTTGCTTTATTACTTTAGAATGATTATCTGCCTTCATATTTCCATGTTATGCTCTATTACTTTAGAATGATTATCTGCCTTCATATTTCCATGTTTTGCTTTATTACTTTAGAATGATTAACTGCCTTCATATTTCCACGTTTTGCTCTATTACTTTAGAATGATTATCTGCCTTCATATTTCCATGTTTTGCTTTATTACTTTAGAATGATTAACTGCCTTCATATTTCCACGTT